AAATCCTAGATTCTAAACCCTGAACCCTATAGATTCTAGATGCTGAAACCTAAACAGACACCAACTGTGATCAAGCCTACCAGAAACCACTATGTCACTATGTACTATAGCCGCGTAAAGACCTACCCATACCGTTTTGGGGATCCTGATTAGACTTATGTCACAATATTACTATATAACCCAAAACCCTTCTCATTAGTAAAGCCCCCGCCCCTCCACTTTTCAAGCCCCTATAACCCAACGCCCTCTTCTAGTTATTCCGGGCACTGTCTTGAAGCCTCACTTTTAAAGACATAACCCAAAACCACATTTTTGTTTTTAAGGCCCCTACATCGAGCCCCGTCGAGTCGGTGCGCCTGTTTCCACGGCGGATGCCCAGAGGTCTGCCACGGTGAGATAAGGCGCAGACTGTGTGAAGAAGTCCTCTGATGCCACGTCTCTGGTCTGCTAGGAGCCTCTAAGGCTGCAGGAAAGAAAAGTTTCAATGCCCCAGTGGCCTCGCTGCTATTTTTGCACTCGGCTGCTCTTGCTTAGCAGAAGAAGGGCCGGGCATGTGAGCTACAGGATTTCAACCGAATAGGCGAGCACCACGAACAAGAAGTCTCAACACATGATGGTCATGAGACGTTGCAATGTTCGTGGCTGGTACCACTCGTCATTTCATACGGGTCATGATCGTCACCATTCTCACCATCAACATGTTCTTGCTCTTCAGCAGCTGGTTCGGCAAAGTCATCCTCTTCGTCATGATCACCATGGACACGCGGCAAAAGACACGATTCCACTCGATTCGCGACTGCGATGTTGAGACCCGTGCAAATGCGGTGCTCAAAGCACTTGGACAACGAGCAGTAGTGGGAACTTGCTGTGCATGTCACGATGATGGCCCTCAAGCAGCTGGCACATAATATAGGGGCCTTAATAACTGGAACAGGGTTTTGGGGCACATTATACTATAATTATAATAAGGAACCCCTAAAATAGTATAGGTAATTATTGAGGCCCTATATTACAGTACGACAGGCGGACGTATGATTTGGCGAGTTGGTGCCAAGGCTTGTGCCACGAAAGATGTTCGCAGTTTGCACATTCGCGATCCTCCCACAGACTCTTCTGAATTCTGCTTGCCTGGAGGTTTCCGAGTCTCGAAAGAATTGCAGCCCAACCTGGAATTCAAACCAACGGCAGGGTCCTCCACAGCGGCTTGCACCAGACCTTTCTGCGCCCACGAAACAGGTTGTGTGCACGGCTTTTACCTGAATATCCTAGAATGTGACTTGAGAAAGATGCTTCAGTGAGCCGGAACGAAACCTCGGTTAAGGACAAAGGCTTGGGCATGCAGAATGCAGATTTTTGTCCATTTACGGTTGGTGCTTGGGCGTGGGCTGCCGAACCCTCGATGGGAGACACAAATGGGACATGACAAGCACAAGACACGTCTGGAAAACTTCAAACCGGTGTCCTCCTGATTCAGCCTACCTTGCTTCTGCTTCCTCTTCTTGCCGATGCCCCAGAACAGGGGTTATACGGGACCAACACGGTAATGTTGGGCTGTCCGGGCCGGGTTCGGGAAGCATGGAGTTTTGTGCAGGTCAGGCTGCCAAACATTTCACGCAACAAGGTATCATACTCTCGTACTCCTCGACAAAGATGGCCGCTGAAATTGTTTGGCTTTCTATTTTCTGGCATATCACAAGGGCGAGACGAATGTGAACTCTCATGCAGCCTCGCGCTTGTGACTTTGCCGGCAGCTCAGAACCGTCAACCTTTCAGGCCAAGAAGCGCCAGCCTAAACCTCCGGAACGATTTCCCATGCTGATCCTGGCTCTGGGCTTGGGATTGCATGTGTTGTGACCATCGCGTTTCCGGGACTACAGTGTGACCACAGCATGGGCTGCGTTATCCAGAACCCCCACAAGAAAGCTGCATGTTTCGAGACGTGGTCCATCCTGAAAACGATATTTAAGGCAGGAAAGCTTGTGCAATGGATCGGTTTCCAACGGACAAACCTGCAACACAGTCTGCTATGCACCACTTCCGAAGTCATGGTTTGATGCATTTCAGGGCCATAATTTGTTGGGTCACAATGCAGCGTGTCTCTCACCAGCCCGGCCAGCGGTGGCCCGCCTTGCAAATTCACATTGAAAACTCTTCGGGACGGGGCTCACCAAGGCTAAAGGCGTGTGCTCACCTGTCACTGTCACAGTGCGAGGGTGTTCTTGTTTTGGCTTCGTGCAGCGTTCCGTATCAAAGGCTCGTCGAAAGCACTAAAATTTCAGCAAAATCTCTCGCTACCAGGTCCGAACGAAGCACGGCACATGCATCTTCACATAAATAGCAATGTTCCTGCCAGAACATCGGGGCATCGAACAAATCGTGATGCGTGCCACTGGAAATGCCAAGTGAGTGCGGCGCAAGCATCCCACGGTATCGGCATGCATGCACCCAACATCATGCAACATGCAAACGAAAGGTTTCCAATTGACACGCCGTGTTGAATGTCGGATGTGCGAGGACAAATGAGGGTCCGGCATATTGTGCCACTTGGTGCAATGCCAGTATCCCTGACGTAAACCCGGTGAACCCTTGAAGATATGTAACCGATCTGCACCCAAAGCTCCAAGTTTCAGGGGTTGGAATGCTTCAACCGGAAAGCATCTACAAATCAACGCATGCTTTGTGACGCTAAAGAAGCGAGGTGGAATGAATTCTCAAGCTGGCATTTGTCGAAATATGTGATGTCTACTGTCTACCAGTCAAGTTCCAGCCGAACACAAAATGTTCGCCTTCCCAAACGCGCAATTCCACAGCCACCCTAATTATTCCAAGTGTCCTCAATCCAGTGTCGTTTGAAGATTGTGAGGCACGTGCTTCAACACAGGAAACTTTTGCTGCTGAAAGATCCTCCCGCCATCGAACCTCGCCGAGAACATTCCCAGTGGTATGAATCCAATGCAACGCGTGTTTAGCCTGGGATTGGGGTTTAGATATCTGGAAGACAACACTGCGCGATGCCTTTGTGCAATTTCAATTTAAAAATCGACGGTCGCATCGCAAACTCACATACACGGAACTCAAAGTTTGCAGAACGTGGCTTTGACTACATCTCAGCGGGGTTTCATGGCAAGTCTTTCGGTGCTGCAAACCGTACATGTCCGGAACTGGTGGCGGTAGTGCTGGTGCTGCCGACAGAGGCAGCGTAGTGCTGGCGGAAGCAGTGGCGATGACGACCAGGACGATGATGATGGCGATGTTGCTCTCGTGACGATCATGGCAAACTATGTTGATGTTGACGAGTTGTGCTTTGCTGTTAGTCTTGTCATTGATGACGTTGTGGCGGTTGTGTCGTGGTCGGGGTCGGGTGGTGGTCGTACTCATGGTCGCGATGTGGTTCTGTGGTTGCTTGTTGTCGCCGTTGCCGTTGCCGTTGCCGTTGCCGTTGCCGTTGCCGTTGCCGTTGCCGTTGCCGTTGCCGTTGCCGTTGCCGTTGCCGTTGCCGTTGCTGCTGCTGCTGCTGCTGCTGCTGCTGTTGCTGCTGCTGCTGCTGCTGCTGCTGCTGCTGCTGCTGCTGCTGCTGCTGTTGCTGCGCATGATCGTGACCGCGAAGGATCATGACAGAGACCGTGTTGGTGCAGCTTAAGAGCCACTACTGACGATGGTGGTCACCATGATGGTAACAATTATCACCGTAATCTTGAGTAATCTTAGTGACAGCGCTGTTGGTCCTAACGATTAGGATGTAGTGAAAATGATGACGATGATACTGGCGGCGGTGATGATGATGAGGAGGAATGATAATCAAATGAAGGCGATGCTGTCGATGCGGACGAAACGACGATGATGATGATGGCGATTGTGATGAAGGATCATGTCAATGCCGAGGATGGCGATGATTGATGACGATGGTGATTCTCATGGTGATTGCGATGATGATGAGGATGGGCTGTTGTTTGTGCCGTGCCACTATTGAAGAAAGCAGCGGTGAGTGTTGAGTGTGCTGATGCTGATCATGGCCATGCTTTGATTGTCGGTGATGAGGAGGAGGAGGAGGAGGAGCAGGAGGAGGACAGACCTGATAGTCGCGCGATGTTGACGTTGGTGAAGTTGACCATGCTGCCGATGCTATCTACCAGCAGTTATCACAAGAGGAAACATCTCACACTCTGAACTGATCGCACAAGCGCGCAGAGTGGTCAGGGAGCTAATTACTCAGAATGAAAAAATCAGCATCCTGCCGACAAGTGAAACGTATATTCCTTAGAACCCCACTGCACTGTTGAGCGCAGCGACTTAAGACGCGTGTTAACCCTGATTGCCCTGAGAAATACAGAGTCTCTAGGCGGTTCAGATGGGTTCAGGATGATTCTGGATTTGTGAGATGGCAACCGAACGCAACGCCATTTTATTGATGATCCCGCACGCCGAACTGTGGCGACTCACAGAACTTACCCTAAACCCTAAACCCTAAACCCTAAACCCTATACTCTAAATCCTTGTTGCAGATGCTTGCAGCTTTCAGAGAGCCGTCGAGGGTCCAGGGGAGTTTCACATGGTCCGGGGCCTTCAAAACTAAAGTAGGGTTTAGGGTTTAGGGTTTAGGGTGTAGGGTTCGGGGGTATGTTGTAGGATACTTCTATCAAGGATCTCGCAGGGATTGCGTGCGAAGTGATTCTATTACTACTTTTTTCAGGCCCCGGTACTCAACTCTAAACCCTAAACCCCCAAACCCTAAATCCTAGGCCCAAGACATTAGGAACCGATCCGAATATCCTGGTTCACTCCCATAGGGTCCTAAGTACCTATGTAGCAGAAAGTAGGGTTTCTATCATATGAAGTCCTGTTATGGTTAGGGCAAGTATCCCCGTCAACAAGGAACCCTTATAGTAGCCCTCAAAGGAACCCTCAAAGGAACCCTCAAAGAGCCCTTGAAGGAGCCCCTGCACGTACTCAGCACCCTCTGGGACTTTGCCGAAGGTCCAAAGCAAGTCCACGGGCAGTCGCGGCAGGACAAGGCCCAGCCGGTCAATGCTGAGCTGCTGCAGGTAGCGCAGCGTGTAGGCAAAGATCCTTTGACAGCCCACACACATAAAAATGTAGCCTATTATAATACCAAATGATATGCTTATATATATATATATGTATATCTATTTATTTATCTATTTATTCATTTATACACACTCTAACATATGCATATACATATATATATATATACACACATGACTGCACCTGTCCATGATTAATAAGCGACGATACAGTACGATGCAAGGGAGGCCCATCATCGCAAGATAGGGGCCGAAAGCCAAATTTTGTGGAGTTTAGGGCTTTGGGCTTAGTGTTTTGGGCTTAGGGTTTTGGGTTTAGGGTTCTGGGTTTAGCGCCTAAAGTTTAGGGTTTTGACTGGGGTTTTGGTCTACCAAAGTGTCCATGCAACAATCGGGAGCGACAAGGAATGATGTTGCTAACTATTCAGACTTCCATATTCTAGTAAGATTTGAGTACCCATGTGGGTAACTTCCATCTTCTAGTAAGATTTTAGTACCCATGTGGGTAACTTCCATCTTCTAGTAAGATTTTAGTACCCATGTGGGTAACTTCCATATTCTAGTAAGATTTTAGTACCCATGTGGGTAGTTCTCTAGATTAGGGTCCCTCTTGGGGTCACGTTTAGAAGGGTGCCGTACCATATATTGGGGATCTATACAAAAGGGACCCTAATTTGGAGAAGTGCCCCTGCAGACCCCTTGATAGTAACCCTGAAACGATGCTAACCCCAAAGGCTCCATGTGCTTTTATAGTAGATATTTCAGCCTTAAAGGGGTCCCTATATAGGTACTTTAAGGCCTAAGTATCTACTATATGGGTACATGGAGCCTCAGGGAGCTGGAGCCTAAACCCTAAACCCTAAACCCTAAGCCCCTAAACCCTAAACTGGAGCCGAGGATTCCCACGCCACCCAGAGTCCCGGAGGATCAGCGTGGGAATCAGGATCAGGCAGGTGGCGCACTCGATGGAAACGCCTACGGGCGCAGGAGGCTTTAGGGAGTTTTGGGCTTTAGGGTCCAGGGTTTTAGGGTTTTAGGGTTTAGGGCTTTAGGGTTTTAGGGTTTTAGGGTTTAGGGCTTTGGGTTTTAGGGTGCTTGCTTGCTGGAAGACCAACTTGTACCAACCGAGGGCCTTGAATCTCAAACTCGGCCTTGTTCTCTTTCTCTAACAGGGATACAAGCTCCTGGACAGCATTCTATACTCCAAACCCGAAACACTACACCCGAAACCTCGCACCCTAAAAACCTACCAACATTCAGGAAGCTCCGAATGTGGGGGGCCTGAATAACCAGAAAGGTTTCGTGCAATTTGTGGTAGAAGTGTATGAAGACTATGCGATCTACTATGCGGGGAAAGTGCTAAGATGATAGCATGTCGAATTTTTCCCGACCTCTACAATAATGTTAAGCCAGCACCAAGGACGGTATGACTATATTTCTTAGAGAAAGCTCTTCTAGTAACCCGAAAGTAGGGACCATAATGATTACAATAAGGATATGGGCTCCCTTATGGTAGATTTATACTAAGGAAATCCAAGGAACACCATAAATAATCATTTGAGCCCCTACGTTATGTGAAGAAACCTTAAACCCTAAACCTTGAGCCCTAAACCCTAAACCCTAAAACCAAACCCCTAAACCCTAAACACTAGACCCTAAACCCTAAACCCTAAACTCTAAACCCTGAACCCTGAACCCGACACCCCAAAACCCTGAATCCTAAACCCTAAACCCTGAACCCTGAACCCTGAATCCAAAACCCTAAAACCCTAAACCCCCAAACCCAAACCCTAAACCCTAAACCCTAAACCCTGAACCCCAAACCCTAAACCCTAAACCCTAAACCCAAAAAACCCTAAACCAAAAAAACCCTAAGAACTCGTACAGAGCCCGGCCTAGGTTGCAACCCGTGGCGTCTGCCGGATGCGAGGCGCATTTGCAGTGCCGCACTCGAAGGCAACAGTCCGCCTCATACTAGGTTTAGGGCTTTTAGGGCCTTTGGGGCTTTTAGGGGTTTTAGGGGTCTTAGGGCTTTTGGGGGTTTTAGGGCTTTTGGGGCTTTTAGGGGTTTTAGGGGTTTAGGGGTTTAGGGGTTTTAGGGTCTAGGACTTAGGGTTTGGGGTTTCAGGTTCAGGGTTTAAGGTTTGGGGGTTTCAGGTTTAGGGTTTAGGGTTTAGGGTTTGGGTTTAGGGTTCTGGGGCTTAGGGTTTTAGTGGTTTAGGGTGTAGGGTTTTGCGGGTTTAGGGTTTAGGGTTTAGGATTTAAGGGGTTTAAGGTTTAGGGCTTAGGATTTAGGGGCTTAGGGCTTAGTGGTTTAGGGGTTTAGGGAATATCATACTACGGTGGATGACATTAATCCTGCCTGACGCTATAAGGACCCTAAACTATGGGAATTATGGTATATTCCTTATTATGGGTAATGCAGGATTTGTATCATCAACCGTACGTAGGTAGTATCATGCAGTGATAATTAAAATAGTAGACCATAATCATCACAAAGACCACCCAAAATAGTGTTGGTAATTATTCAGGCCTAAACCCTAAACCCTAAGAGGGTGAAGGCCCGATTTTTGGGTCGATAGTGCAAGGCTTAGGCCTCTAAGCCCTACACCCCAACACCCTAAACCCTAAACACGAAACCTTAAACCCCCAAACCCGAAACCCTAAAACACGCTAAAACCCGAAACCCCAAAACCCTGAACCCGAAACCCCCAAAACCTGAAACCTTAAACCCTAAACCCCTAAACTCCTCAACCCCTACACCCCTAAACCCCTTTGGCATGGCATTTAGGGTTCAGGTTTCTTTGTGAGGCCACGGCCTCCTCAGAGGTATTCAAAAGTTTTGTTTTTCACGGCTTCAGGACCACCGTAGTAGCATATGCTATAGTCTATCATAATATATATATATATATATATACAAATATATAATATGTTATAGTCTAGTATATTATATAGCATAGTATTGTATAAGGTAGGTATAATATGTTTTTGTATGTATATAATATAGCATAGTGTGGTATAAGGTAGGTATAATATGTCATAGTATAGTACATGAGATTAGTTTCAGACCATTGGTCCATAAAACCATGCAAGTAACACTGCACAATCAAGGAGCAGTCTGATATCCCCCGAGAAGCAGCAAAGCTCCCAAACCTGCTTCACTGATGCTGAGACACGGTTTAGGGCTTAGGGTTTACCAAACCCCCTGAACCCCAAACACCTAAACCTCGAAGAACCCAACAGCATCAACAACAATACCATCATGGCCTGATCTGCACCATGGAGCATGCACTCATCAAAGCCTGCCGTAGTGAGGAGGTTCTGCCGCCAATATATATATATATATATACACATCTATATATATATACACCCACACAGATATATATATATATATATATATACATATATACACATCTATATATTGTGCTTCTGTATATATATATATACATATGTAGTATAATCATACACACAACAACACACAGTGGAGTGGACAAAACAACTCATGGATGCTTTGGACTGCTTGGATCTACGACCTGTGACTCCCTAAACCCTAAGCCCTAAACCCTAAGCCCTAAACCAAAAACCCTAAAACCCTAAACCCTAAGCCCTAAACCCCAAGCCCTAAACCCTAAACCCTACGCTAAAAACCCGGAACCCTAAACCCTGAACCCTGAACCCTGAACCCTTCCGCACTCCAGGCGCCTTTTTGGCATTAGGTGGCAATGTTGAGCCCTGAAACCCTAAGGCTGCATAGGGTTTAGGGTTTAGGGTTTAGGGTTTAGGGTTTAAGGTTTAAGGCTGCATGTGCCTAATGTAGTATAGGGTTTAGGGGTTTAGTTGTTTTGGGGTTTAGGGGTTTAGGGTTTAGGGGTTTAGGGGTTTAGTTGTGTAGGGGTTCAGGGGTTTAGGTCTTTAGGGGTTTAGTTGTTTAGGGGTTTAGGGGCTTAGTTGTTTAGGGGTTTAGGGTATAGGGGTTTAGGGGTTTAGGGGTTTAGGGGTATAGGGTTTAGGGGTATAGGGGTTTAGGGGTTTAGTTGTGTAGGGGTTCAGGGGTTTAGGTCTTTAGGGGTTTAGTTGTTTAGGGGTATAGGGTTGAGGGGTTTAGGGGTTTAGGGATTTAGGGGTATAGGGCTTTAGGGGTTCAGGGGTTTAGGGTTTAGGGTTTGGCGTTTTGGGGCTTAGGGTTTAGAGTTTCTAGGGCTGAGGGGTTAGGGTTTCGGGTATACACTACACAGGCACATGGAGCCTTAGGGAAACTACCTGCGCCCCGAAGGCTCTGACACGAAGAGGTCTTTAGGGTTTAGGGTTTAGGGTCCTGGGATTCCGAAGCCAGCGTGCGCAGTCTCAAAAGGACTATAGGCTACACTACCGCTAGTCCTACGGCTCTGGATCATAAAAATAATACTCATAAAACTCATCACCGCTAGACCTATTAGAACGGTTTAGGGTTTAGGGTTGAAGGTTCTTTCTAGCTTACCACCAACAGTACCACTACCAGACCACCACTGGTACGGCTACCGCGACGTAGCTACAGCTACTGCGACTGCTGCTGCTTCTTCGTCTTCTTCTTCTCCGTATCCTGTGGTTGTTGCACTTATGGTCGATGCAGTTTGGTATCAACTCTGCAGGCATCTGGTTCTTGAGGGTCTTGCAAGGGAGGGTATATGCATGCATTCACTAAACCCTTCAACTACTGCATGTACAATTATAGTGATGATGCTGGTGGACAGAATATATGAAACTACTGATGCAGAATAGCAGGGTCATAGCAGCACCCTGGAACTACATGGGTAGGGTCCCTTTCAGGGTCCTGTCTATAAGGGTGCCGTAATTTTGGGAACCTAAACCCTGAACCCTAAACCCTAATTCCTAAACCCTAAACCCTAAACTATAAGGGTACTATTTTGGGAACCTAAGAAGGAACCCTAATTTAGAGAACTACCCACCAAACGTTGCAGCTCCAGTTGTAGTATGATATTACCTAAACCCCTAAACCACTAAACCCAGAGCCCCTAAATCCTAAGCCCTAACCTTAAACCCCTTAACGCTTAAACCCTAAGCCCCTAAACCCGAAACCCCTACACTCCAGTCCTTGCACACCGGCATCCGGGAGAATAGCATTCCTCGGGTCCCCGATGCTTAACAAAGCACATTCCAAAGGGTTTAGGGTTTAGGGTTTAGGGTTTCGGGTTTAGGGTTTAGGGTTTAGGGTTTAGGGTTTAAGGTTTTGGTTTAGGGTCTAGGGTTTAGGGTTTCAGAGAAATCTGCGATGCCATGGCAATTTTGTCTTTCATCAGTATGAGGTTAAAGGTTCGGGTTCGGGGCATATGCAAACGACGTGCTCAAGTAATACAGCCCAGCACAAAACCGGTTTCTTGTCAGCTTGAGTCATCGAACGCTCAGGTGCACCTCTGGTGCTTACGTGAAAGAAGAGCACACAAAAGCTGCCTTTCAGCCCTCGCATCTTGGGACGGGTTTAGGGTTTAGGGTTTAGGGTTTAGGGTTTAGGGTTCGAGGACCCTTCCTCTCAGACTTGTGGTTTGCCCAGACTCGAATCATCATAGGGCTCGAAGGGCTTGTGCGAGGACAGGAAGAGCCCGCGCAATGCGACCTTACGGCATAAACCCTAAACCCTAAACCCTAAACCACTTCCGTGAAGTGATGCCGACGGATCTTCCCATGGGTAGTTCTCTAAATTAGGGTCCCTTTTTGGGGGCCCAAATATAGTACGGCGCCCTTATAAAAAGGACCCTAAAAGGGGACCCTAATTTAGAGAACTAACCAAACAGAAGCCCTTATAGTACCCTCATAGAAGCCCTATATAGAAACCCTTATGGATCCCTTTAAGGAACCCAAAAAGGGGACCCACATAGAACTACCCTTCTCCCATGCTTGGAAAGACTCTGGTTCTCCGATGGCTAAGTCTACGCTCCCTTCACTTTGGGAAAAACTGTCTGGTGCTTAGTAGGGAATGGGGGAATGGGTTACAGGGACTACTATAAGGGACCTTAAGGAACTATCATAGGGATCCATTCCCCCATTCCTTACTAGGCACCAGACAGAAAATGCAGGCACCCAGAGACCCCAAAGCCCCCTTAAGTAAGGAGAACATACCTTAACTTCTACTAGGAACCCTAACGAGATTTAAGGTATATTCCATAATTAAGGGGATATACCTTAAATTATAATGGGAATCCTGATAAGATTTAAGGTCTATTCCTTAATTTAAGGGGACATTGGAGCCTCTGGGAACCATGTCTGCATCTGACACGGCCGTCCGTCAATGTCTGCCAGGCTGCGCCCATGCCGCAGAAGGGGTCTGAAGGCAGCCGGGGAAAGCGCGGCGCCACGTTGCTCTGCATGCAGTCGAACTCCGCCTCTTTCCCGAGACACCTTGCTGAGACGCTTTTCAAATGGGTTGCTGTCACGGAACTAACATGACTATAATTAATAAGGCAACCCTGATATTTACTATATATCCCATTATGGTAAGTTGTAAATTAAGGCAACCCCTTATATTTGGAATATAATATATCCCATTAAGGTAACTTTTACATTTAAGCTCCTAACGGCAACCCAGTCAACTGTGAAACCCGGAGCGGACATCAGACATCAAGGCCTTGAGGCCTCGTAGACACAGACACCCACCAAGGCCTTTCATGATCCTTCGGAGAAGCCTACGTGACTAAACCCTAACCCCTAAACTGCCCTAAACTGCCCTAAACTGCCCTAAATCCTAAACCCTAAGACCTCCCTTGTTATCCCCAAATTGACCCTTCTTGTCTTAGTTCGGCCCACGTCCTGCAGATTTTCTTCGTCATTCAGCCTTGTAACCCTTGTGGTGGGCTTAAGCTTAAGGGCTTTAGGGTTTAAGCTTAAGGGTTTAGGGTGGTATCCCTCAGTAAACCCTTCAAAGAAGGAGTCTTCCCGTCTGCTCTCTGAGGGGTGGACTCATCGAAAGCTGCCTGCACCGCGCGCCAGGCACCGCGAGCGGGAGAGAGCTCGCAAGAGACGAGAGAGGCCTGCATCTCCTCTTGAGAAAAAGGGGGGTTTATAGAAAAGGGTCTTAGGGTTTAGGGTTTTAGGGTCTTAGGGTTTAGGGGTATATAAGCATCTCCTCTTAAGAAAGTCTAAGGGCTTTAGGAGGGACCCTTAATAGGAACCCTTGTAGGTTACTGGGGTTAATATGGAGACTACCTGGCTATATGGGGGATATATAAGCATCTCCTCTTGAGACAAAGGGTGGGTTTATAGAAAAGGGTCTTAGGGTTTTAGGGTTTAGAGTTTAGGGGTTTAGGGTTTAGGGTTTAGGGTTTAGGGGTTTAGGGTAATGCGGTTGATGATCTAAACCCTGCATGCCCTAAAGGACCCTAAACTATGGGAATTATGGTATATTCCTGATTATGGGACCATGCAGGATTTATTTTTTCAACTGCAGTGCTTAGAGCTCCTACTACGCCTATATGTACCCCTAAACCTCCACAAAAAAGATGCTAGTCGTAATCCTAAACCCCTACAAAACCGGGATGCTTATCGAAACCCTAGCCCTAACCACCCCTAAACCCCTGAAGGGAGATGCTTATAGCAGCCCTAACCCACCCTAAACTCTGAACCCTAAACCCCCCAAACGGAGAGGGTTACGATAAGCATGTCCTCTGTAAAGGGTTTAGTGGGGTTACTGCTGTATACTATATACCTTAAGGACCAAATGAACCCCAAAAGGGTATAAGGATATAGGGCCCCTACTTATAAGGGTGATTCGGTCCCCAAGGTAAGCATTCGGGCTTAGGGCTCGGCAGGCAGGCAAGCGCGCTCCTCCACCGTCTCCCACGGGCAGCAAGCCATGAAAAGGTCCTGGCCAGACTCCCACCAAGAGAAGCTACTTAAAGGATCATGGGACTTAGTAAGTAGGGTCATAACTAAGGTAACTATACTTATAACCCAAATTAAAGGACTTACAACCTTATTTACTAAGGCCCATGATCCTCCAAGCATGATTAGGCTCTCCGCGATGATTCAGTTTGGAGTACTTTGCAAGTAGTCTCACATCCCGCAAGGACTCTGCCGAGCACACAGTAGCATTGCTGAAGCAGATGGACAGCGCCACATCCATGGGCTGGAAGAAGCCTGGGCGGAGCTGGGTGCGCGGGTGTGGAGTTCAGCTTCAGGGCTCAGGGTTGAGTGTTCGGGCTTGGGATGCAGCATTTAGAAATGGGTTACAGATTCTACTGTCTGGTGCTTAGTAGGGAATGGGGGAAGGGATCCCTATGATAGTCCCTTAAGGTTCCATATAGTAGTCCCTGTAACCCATTCCCCCATTCCCTACTAAGCACCAGACAGTCTAAGTTACTAAGAGACTAAGGGTTTTAAGGCCGGCAAAAAAAAAAACGGTGCACATGCTTCTCCCAAAACTCCACGCCACCGATTCTGCCAGGGTATACCAATCGTATGCACATGGATGCAAGTGTGCACAAAGATCGTGATCTAGAAGGTTTAGGGTTTAGTGAAGGATTACCAATGAAACTACTTGGGGTTCTCGGCTGTAGCTATACCAGAATATACCCTCAAAAACCCGCTTCTGCCTGACCCCAAACCCCCAAGCCCTGCTCTGATCCCTAAACTCAAGCTGCAAGCAACCCTGAAACTGGAGAACCTAAACCCTCAACTCCGTTCCCTACACCCCAAAACTCTATTCCCGCAACGGTTTAGGGTTCAGGGGTTTAGG